CTTGAGAGGACACTAGGTTGGACAGTTATAGCAAGATGTCTTTAAAGGGCTGGGTGTGGTGACCCATGCCTATAATCCCAGCACTTTAGGAGGCTGAGACCAGAGGGAGGATCACCTTAGCTCAGGAGTTTGAGGCTGCAGAGAGCTATAAGTGCACTACAGTCCAGTCTGGACAGCAGATCGAGACCCTGTGTCTTTAAAAAAAAAGTATTTTAAAAAATCAAAGTTAAAACCTTGAAAAAGTTTTAAAAACTTTAAAAATGAGCCGGGCACAGTGGCTCACACCTGTAATCCCAGCAGTTTGCGAGGCTGAGGCGGGCAGATCATGAGGTCAGGTGTTTGAGACCAGCCTGATCAACAGGGAGAAACCCCGTCTCTACTTAAAAATACAAAAATTTGCCGGGCATGATGGCGCGCACCTATAATCTCAGCTACTTGGGAGGCTGAGGCTGGAGAATTGCTTGAACCCAGGAGGCGGATGTTGCGGTGAGCCGAGATCATGCCACCGCACTCCAGCTTGGGCGACAGAGTGAAACTCCGTCTGATGAAATCTAATAGACATCAAGGTCTGTAGGACAATAACAGCAATAATCTATCTGTAAGTAGGAAGGTGTAGGAGAGAGTGAGTTGGTTTGAAGTATGGAGTATAAAATTTCAACAAGGGACTGATATGCAGCCCACAGCCCTGTGAGGTATGGCTAGGCTTTCAGTTCTGTATCACCTGAGAGTGATTGCTAAAAATGTTCCTACTACCTAAGAGGCAGCGTGGCCTCCTGAGGGCATGTGACTCAACCCCCTTCACTGTACTTCCAAGACTACAGTCTTCCTTCACTTTGCATGAACAAAGGCAGCAGTGCACTAAGCTTTGCTGTTTGAAAATATTTTTTACTAATTTTAGCGGTAGAGAAGATGCCCTTTGATACAATTTTGGTTTTGGTCTTATCTTCTTTGCGGAAGGAAAGCAGATTCCAGGCTGTATCTGCTGTTCAGGAGTACAACAATTGCCTAAAACATTCCTAGTTTTGTATGGACCAGACCCCAGCCTAGAGTAGAAGGGCTTACGGCAATATCCTAGAGCCTAAGATCTCTGCTTTGCCCTTTAGAACTTGAATTGGCCTCCATAGTAACATTTTCCTAATTACCATAAATCTGATTATTTGCTTTATCAGAAGCTGCAAACAAATGAACAAGCCCAAAAAGGCTATGACATTTTAAAACACAAAAAGAGAATAAGTAGGTCTGGGTGCAGTGGCTCATGCCTGTAATCACAGCACTTTGGGAGGCCAAAGTGGGCGGATCACTTGAGGAGTTCAAGACCAGCCTGGCCAACAGGGTAAAACCCCGACTCTACTAAAAATATAAAAATTAGCCGGGCATGGTGGCAGGCTCCTGTAATCCCAGCTACTTGGGAGGCTGAGGCATGAGAATAGCTTGAAGCCGGGAGGTGGAGGTTGCAGTGAGCTAATATCACGCCACTGCACTCCAGCCTGGGTGGCAGAGCGAGATTCTGTCTCAGAAAAAAAAGAAAAAAAAAGGGAGCGAGAGAAAGTAGGGAACTGCATTGACCTCCACACCTATAATTATCCTTATTATAGGGAAGTTCCATGTCTGAACTTTATTCCAAATCCACCCTAACGAAAAGTATGAATCAGCTGGCCCTTCCCCTGGACCTTGCAGAAAAATGACTAACAATTATGAAGCTCACTAAAGGCTTTAAGTTACCTATCTCTTGGAATCCCTTTTACAACTCCTTTTCTTCTAGCTTCGGAATAGCCCATCTTGTGCCAAGTTTTAGGTTACTTGGGCACATTATTTAGGTGCATTGCGATCATGTGATTTTAGTCTATCTTGGTCTCCACCCTGCATAGAGAAGTGTGACAAATTTTCTGCCCTCTGTGGGCTCACACACAGCTGCAGTACCACACGGAATTACAATGGCGGTTTGAACAGTGGAGACTGTGGAAGCCCAGTGCAGAGAGCAACCTCCTCTACTAGGGTAGTTGAGAGGATGGGGAGCTAGACACGTATATGTGGATCCAGATGCTACCTGGTGCTAAGCTCTTACTCCCTGCAAAGCACTTAAAAAAAAAAAAAAACAACAAAATTTAAACACTACCTCTCCTCCCTCACCCCCCTTTTTTTTGAGACTGGGGTTTCACTCTGTCGCCCAGGCTGGAATGCTGTGGCGCAATCTCAGCTCACTGCAAACTCTGCCTCCTGGGCTCAAGCGATTCTCCCACCTCAGCCTCTGGTGTAGCTGGGATTACAGGCGCGCGCCACCACGCCGGAACTCCTGGACTCAAGTGACCCCGCGTGCCTAGGCCTCCCAAAGTGCTGGGATTACAGGCATTATCCACCACGCCCTGCCTCAAAAAGCACTTTCAATTCATGCACAAGCCCTTGAATCCCAAACACTCTCAGAGGCAGAGACTACTTTTTGGGGTGGGGGAGGGGGACCGAGTTTCGCTCTTGTTGACCAGGCTAGAGTACAATGGCGCGAATCTCGCCTCCCGAGTTCAAGCGATTCTCCTGTCTCAGTCTCCCGAATAGCTGGGATTACAGGCATGCACCACCACGCCCGGCTAATTTTGCATTTTTAGTAGAAATGGGGTTTCTCCCTGTTGGTCAGGCTGATCTCAAACTCCCGACCTCAGGTGATCCGCCCGCTTTGGCCTTCCAAAGCGTGAGGCTGGGCGTGAGGCATCGCGACCGGCCGGCAGGGACTACTTTTATTCTAACTTTATAAATAAGGAAGCCGAGACACTGTCAAGGGAGTTGCCCCGTGCCTGTAAGCAGGGAGCTGAACTGCTAGTTAGAGGAATTGTAATTCCTAGGCTCTGGTTCACTGCGCACCGCCAGGGATGGGGGTGGAAGAAGGATGGGGTGGCGTTGCAGGAAGTACATTCGCATCAAGCACTCAAAATGCCTGGAAACATTAAGAAAGGGAGCGTGCAAAAACATTTCCCTGGTTTCAGCCATCTCTAGCCCTTTTTAGGTCACTTCAAATAAAAATTGCAAATAACTGCCATGTGGAGAAGATATGCAAATGCTGCTTAATGGAAAAGTCATTTGGAGTGCTGTGAAAGTTGGCTCATTTATTTAGCTGCCTCAAGTGTGCACATCATTCTTTTTCAGGGTGACTGTGTTTGAAGACAAAGCTTTGTATGTTTTCCCGCTTCCTCTCCAATTGGATTTTCCAATTATAACATATTGATTAACAAAATACCCTGGTGGTTTGAACCGAGTATGCCTATGAGCAGGGGTTAATTGAAAATAGGGAACTGCTGTATATTTTAATTCTTTTTAGGTACTCCCATGGCGGTACCCTGTACTCGGCTCTACTCTAAAGTAAAACAAAGCCCAGAACCAGGGTAGTCAGTGCATCCCATTGTTGCTATATGCAGTTTGAAGAGCTGTCGGAACTCGGTTTTTGAACATGATTCATGTTTGTCCTGGTTCATAGGAAAACAAAACTGAAACAAAACCGAGGTCCCTCACCAATGCTCCATGAAAATCCGCTAATCTCCGGGCAGAAAGGGGCCTTAATGATCATTAAACCTAGTGGCTCTCAAAGGGGCATTGTAGACATCTGTGTATTTCTGATTGTCACAATGACTGGCGAGAGCTACTGGCATTTAGTGGGCAGGAGCCAGGCATGCTAGGATGCTCTGTGATGCTGGTCAGTCCCATACAGCGAAGAACTGAACCGCTGGACACTGATGTCGGTGAAAAACTAGTTCATTATCATCTAAGCTTAGAACTAACCCTGTTTTACGAAGGAACACAGAATATCTTTGCCCAGTTTCCATAGATCCTGAATTTTCCACAAATGCAACTACTGTTTCGATTGAAGGAAGATTGTACTGTTTTATTTAAACATTATTAATAGTTCATCGTTTTGGAAAATGAGGTTCCCAGTAGCAATGTTGCTCATAGAACTTGAGTTGTGAAATCAATACACCTTTCCAGTTTGCATTTGTGGCTCTACTGGGCAAGTATCTTACCATCAGTTAGTGTAGCTGTGCGGGGGCATTTGCATATTAAAATACATATGGTTTTATTATAATCATTTTGCAATCGTTTGTTAATAGGTCCTGTTCTTTTAAATTATTTGTAAGTTCACATTATATTACCTATGATTTGTTATTTCAGTATGGTTAAAGGGGGCGTTAGAAAAGACTAGTTATGAAAAGGAGGAGTTGGGTCTTTCACAGGGTTATGGAATGTAGCTGACTCCTTTCATAGATGAGGAAATTGAGACTCAAAGCCGTTAAACAACTTGCCCCGACACAGTGTGATATTCTCCCGGTCACGTTCGAATTTCCGTTTCGATTTTAAAAATTGGGAAGGGAGAGAAGTTATGTGTATGATAAATTATGTGATGAGCACGAACTATTTGAATTCTGGCAGCAGAAGTCCCTTTGGGGGTGGTGCAAACCACTGCGTTTTATTTAATTCCGTCGGGCTGAGGGTCATAAGAGAGGGGGGAAAGCGCTCATAAGAAACCACGGATGTGCGGCCGCCAGCTCAAAGAGGGGATGCACTAGTAAACACATTTTCTCCTATTTAAGGTCCTGCGGCACCGAAGCCGAGACTTTGGGGTAGCCTGCCTAGAAGGGAGCCACGGGAAGAGGTTCCTCCGACGGCAGAAACCCATTTCCTCCCGTTCTTTATTCACCGCAGCGGCCAAAAGGGTCACCCCGAGCCCAGGCCGATAACCTCGTTGCAGTCCCTCCGGCAGGCCCAGGCTGCACCAGCTACAAAAATTCCCGACACTCTTGGGCCCTAAAAGAGCCGTTCGCCACCCCCGGAGTCCCCGCAGTGCCGGTGGCCACTGGCCCTAAAGCGCTGGGCACCCCGTGGGAGGAAACTAGGGGCAAACGTAGCCCGCATTCCTGCGGAGAGCCGGGGTCCCGAGAGGGCGCGACTGCGGCGGCTCCGGATCAGCGCGTGACTGTCTCATTGTTCCCTCACCGCGGGGGGCGGGGGCGAGCGCGCGCACACGTCGGGGGGGTGGGGCGGGAGGGGCCATTGTGTGTTTCTAGGCGGCGCCCCCCGCTGCTTAGGCTACCGCGTAGCGAGGTGCCCGGCCACCACAGCGCGCCGCCGGCTCCCCTCCATTTTCCCCCCGACTCCCGCCCCGGTGACCATCCTACCCTCCTCCCTCCACTTCCCTCTCTTCTCTCCTCCTCTTCCCACCCCTCCCCCCTGTCCCGAACACTCAATATTCACGCCACCGTTTCCTGCTTCACAAAATGGCCACCGCGCGACACCTGCGGTCACGTGGCCTGCCGCCCTCTAGGTTTTGGGACTCTGCCTAGCTCCGACTTCGAGGACGCTACACGCAGAAGAGCGAGGGAAGATTAGACTGGAGAAATCCCACCACATCTCCAAGCCCGGGGACTGAGAGAGGAAGAGTGAAGGCCACTGTTAGACAAAAAAAAAAAAAAAAAAGGAAAAACGAAAGCTGAGTACTTAGGGTTGGAAAGGGGAGTGAAGAGGCTTAGATTAACATTTTCAGGGCTCCTAGCTGGCGGAAAGCGGGAGACTCCAGTTCTCGCGAGATCTCGAGAACTCCGAGGCTGAGAATAGGGTTTTAGCAGAGAGTAGGGGAAGTGTAGCTCGAGATAACTGGGACAGCATTTGGCGCCCTGAGCTCCAAGGCAGGACGACTAGTGGCGACGGGACTGAGTAGGAAATCCCGTGAGATTAGACCTGAGGGAGCGCGCAGTAACTGGCCAGAAGTCGCCGCGGTGGGGGATTGCGGTGTGAAAGGGAGGGCACACGCTGTACGTGCTGACGTAGCAGGGTTTCGAGCGGGTATATTAGGTCCGTGGCCGCGCCGTGCGCTCCAGAGCCGCAGTTCTCCCGTGAGAGGGTCTTCGCGGTGGAACAAAAACACTCGCTCAGCAGCAGAAGACACCGAGTTCTCGGTACTCTTCAGGGATGAGTCATGTGGCGGTGGAAAATGCGCTCGGGCTGGACCAGCAGGTGAGCTGCAAGGACCCCACCGGGCTGGCTGCTGCGAGAATCCCTTGACCTAATCTGGCTAATGGCGCAGCGCTAACCGGCACCCTTACTTTCTAGTTCCTGAGTGCCCCGGGGCTATGGAGGGTCAGGGAGGCGGCAGGAACGTTGGTTGGGGCTGTCGCCAGGGCCCGAGCTTAGCCCGCTGTATTGTCCCCGGGCCGAGCACAATGGCGGCTTTTGTGTGTGCTTGCGCAGGCGGGCGGTTGCGGAGGGGGGGGAGTGCGCGCTCTCTCGCGGGGACGCGCACGCGCGAAACCCGACTGAGGAGTGACCGGGGGAGGTGGGGGGCTTGGAGGAGTGCGCGGTGCGGCAGGACGCGACTGGGGACCCTTTTGGCCTGGAGGGCTTCAGCCCTTAGTGCTGCGCAGCCTGGATTCCCGTCCGGGAGACCCAGCGGCATCCGGTGTTTGCGTGCTTGCGAGCAAGGGGTGGAACGCGGCCCAGGAATGTGGGAGGGGGCGGTGCGGCGCTGTGGGGGGGGGTGGCCTTCGCTCCGGGTAATGGCGGCGGCCTCTTTTGTGTGGTGCTGGGCGGCGCTGTGGCCCACTCCCGGGAGATGGCGGGTCCCTGGAGGGCGAGGGCCTGGAAGGGAGGATGGAATGGGCTGCTTGTTTCTCCTGGGCTTCTTCCGCCCGCCTTTTCGCTTCAACCCAGTTTCCACAGGGTCGGCGGGCCAGGCGCCGCGGCCTGGGAGGCCGCGTTTCCGGAGTGGAAAGTTTTGTGACGCAGAAGATTGGGGAGGAGTGGGGGCGGGGCGGGAAGGGGAGGAGAGGGGAGGGGAGGCGAGGCGAGGCGGGCGGGAATGGGCCGCTGCGCGCTGCGCTCTGGAGACGGGGAGGTTGGACGCGGCGGGGAGGTTAGGAAACCAGCGAGGCCCTTTCTTCTCCTTGCTTGCCCCAGATTGTCCCTGTGTGGCGAATTAGCTGGGGGCCGCCCGTTGTTTTTCTGGGGTGAAGAGGCCATCGCGGACTGTAGGAGTGCCTTCATGTTAGTGACGTTTGATCCAGGAATCCGGCATTGGAAAAACACCCGGCTTGGGGGGGGAAATAAACAGTTTTGTTGTGGACTTGTTGCTGCCTGTGTAATAAAGTCTTGCAGTGGGTCCGAGGCCCCCACATATTTTCTCTTAACCAGAACCCCCTTTTCTAAGGGTTTAGAGGCGGAGGAGAGAAGGACGTGTGATCTGAGAGGAGAAGGTTATGGGCTTTGGTGGCAGGAAGTCTGCATCCAGCCGCAACAGTGGCACCAGGCTTCAGATAAGTTCTTGTGTGGGTTACGCAGAGCCTTTAAATAAACTTCTGCCTACTGTGATTAGGAGAGAGTTGATTTCACAAACTCCGGAATCATCCTGAGATGAAGTTTAGTGGCACAAATTAATTGAATATATATTTTCATGTAGTCATGTGTAATATTTATTTTTAAGGAATTGAACGATCTGTTCCTTTGGGAGCATTTTCCCTGTTAATGAACCAATTATATTAAATCTTCTAATTGCTGACGCTTCATATGTTGAATTGAACACAGATATTTAAAAAATCTCCTACCAGCAGCACAGAGTATTCCCAGTTTTACCATTTAGCTATAGTGTCTAAGGATTCCAGGCAGCAGTGAACCTTATTTAAAAAGCAAAATGTACTACTACAAGTACATAAAGTTTGTTTCTATCGTGCTTTTAAATTATCAGTTTCTTAACTAATGGCAGCAAGAGAGAGAGCGTGGCGGTGTTTTTGCTCATAGAAATTCTGGAAATGAGGTGCCTGAAGTCTTAGAGTCATCTTTTAAACATTTTATTTAAAAGTGTAGCATCTGCTTCCAATTTTCGGTGACTCCATTTGATGATGCATACAGTTTGGCAGTATCATACTAAGCTTTAAACACACGATTTATAAACATGGTATAGCGTGTCTTTTGCAAACAGGTTGGCAGCAGTACCGTGTGACTTGGTTTTTTGTGGCTTTTTGAGAAAAATGAAACACTTTTTGCATTTACAGTTCTAACCCCCTACTTGTTAGTTCCTGGTTAGTTACAAATCATTATCAAGGTAGCATATAACCCTTTTCTAGAATGTTGAAGCTTTTGAGCTACCAATGTAAGGGGATGGGTAGAAATAGAGATTAAAGGCACTAAAATGTCCTACTCTTTAAGAGTATCAAATGCCAGTTATGCCATTTATTCAAAGCCATCTTTGAAGTTCTGTTAAAATGGGAGAATAAATAGGTAACTACTTCAGGCTGGGCTTGTGCTTGTAATCCCAACACTTTGGGATGCCAAGGCAGGTGATCACCTGAGGTCAGAACAGCCTGGCCCAGTAGGGAAAAATCCCGTCTCTACTAAAAATACAAAAAGTAGCCGAGCGTGGTGGCGCACCCCTGTAATCCCAGATACTTGAGGAGGCGGAGTTGGCAGTGAGCTGAGATCATACCGCTGAATTTCCAGCGTGGGTGACAGAGGAAGAGACTGTCTCAAAAGAAACAAATGAAACAACAAACTGCTTCAGAATTGTGCTTAACACAGTGTTCTGTAAGTGGTGGATATATTGCTTTTTTTTGTTGTTGTTCTTAAGAGTACTACCCTTCTGAAAATACTTGTGCAGTATTTGGGGTGAAAGAACTAAAGAACAGTCAATTCAAAATTTGTCTTGACATTTTTCAGGTGTGATGTGCATTTTAGTTTTGAAATATCAAGTATTATAGAAAGTTGGCATTGGAAACATTTATGATTGGCACTAAAATCCCTTATCTATTTGACATTTAAGAATAATTTTGAGATTCAGTGAAAGCTTTAGTCTGGTGATTTAGGGAGCCTATACTATGGAACATGCTACAGTGAGAATTTATTTTGAGTGAATGAATTAAATTTGGACAGTTTCTACTGGATAGCACAAGCATCTTGGTGTGCCGCCTTCTGCAGTATATACAATAACAATATTTTGCATTACTTAGAGCATTACAAACTTGAAAGAATTCTTAATCACATTCCCATTAAGAGTATCCACCCTGTGAGGTGGACGGGACAACTACTTGAATGCAGTGCTGACAAATGCTAGCAGGACTAGTTTTGTCCTAACATAGTATGTGAGAACATGGGCTGCTAACCATCTCTCTCTCTTCTAGTTTGCTGGCCTAGACCTGAACTCTTCAGATAATCAGAGTGGAGGAAGTACAGCCAGCAGTAAGTAAAACATCTTATGAATATATTGAATATTATAGAGCTTAATATCTTAAGATTTCATTGGGCTTACCTAAATTTTAAGAAATCTACATTTCAGCTTTTACTGCATAAAGAATTATGTAGACTTTGTGTTACAAAATTATGTAGTACTTACTGATCAATATACAGCATCGTTGCCTTTCTTTTTTCTTCATCTTTTTTTTTTTTTTTTTTTTTTTTAACTTTTGAGGCGGAGTTTCGCTCTTGTCACCCAGGCTGGAGTGCAATGGCGCGGCTCCCCGCAATCTCCGCCTCCTGGGTTCAGGCAATTCTCCTGCCTCAGCCTCCTGAGTAGCTGGGATTACAGGCACGCGCCACCATGCCCAGCTAATTTTTGGTATTTTTAGTAGAGACGGGGTTTCACCATGTTGACCAGGATGGTCTCGATCTCTTGACCTAGTGATCCACCTCGGCCTCCCAAAGTGCTGGGATTACAGGCATGAGCCACCGTGCCCAGCTTCTTCATCTTTTTTTTTTTTCTGAGACAGAGTTTCGCTCATGTTGCCCAGGCTGGAGTGCCATGGTGTGATCTCAGCTAACCACAGCCTCTGTCTCCTGTGTTCAAGTGATTCTCCTGCCTCAGCATCCTGAGTAGCTGGGATTACAGGCATGTGCCACCACGCCTGGCTAATTTTGTATTTTTAGTAGAGACGAGGTTTCTCAGTGTTGGTCAGGCTGGTCTTGAATGCCCAACCTCAGGTGATCTGCAGCCTTCCAAAGTGCTGGGATTATAGGTGTGAGCCACTGCTTCCAGCCTGCTTTTGCTTCTTTACCACAGTTTAAGCTATATTCTGCCTGCATACGGAGCAACTATCAAGTTTCCTTAAACTCAGCAAGCCCCAAATTAAAACCTGCAATACCTTGAAATTAACTTCCCTTTGCAGCTTTTTCTTGTGTATTTATTGTATGTTTTGCAACTTAACTGGCATAGAAACAAAAGACTCTTGGTGGCTGATTGTGAGATTTAATTACGTGAGTAGTCTTAGGTTGTTACAGTAATAATACTTAATGCTATAAGTGATCCTCTTAGTTTTTAGTGACAGTTCTCTTAAATCTAACAGGCCTTTTTTTAAAAATCACGTTAAATGACCACTAGTGGCTAAATGTGTTCAATTTGTGGATTTCAACTATTAGGTTCCAAATCAGCTTTTTGTTAAAAACGCCTTTGAGAGTTCTCCTTATGAAGCAGTAACCCATTTAAAATTAAAGTAGATTCTTCCCCTGCCCCTCAATTTCCAGGTAAGCAGACTGGAAGGCTGGAGATTTTAATTTCCTAGGGCCATTTTTTAGTAGCAGAAATTTAAATGGAAGGTTTTTGGCATTTAATTGATTGTATAAATATTTTTTAGAAGGGCGCTATATTCCTCCTCATTTAAGGAACCGAGAAGCTACTAAAGGTAAGTCCTCACAGGTAACTTCATAGGTTTAATTTTTGCCTCATTTTTCGAAGTTGACGCCTAAGGAGAATGAGGCATTTTGGGGAAGTCTGAACATTGTGTTCTTCCCTTATGCTTCTGTCAGCATTGGTTGGGAGTGATTCTCTGATTTCATCTCCTTGCCTTGCTGCTTTTGAAAGGTTTTGTCCAAAATGTATTATAATATCTGGTGTCTTCCTGTTGCAGTTGTAACGTAGTGATAGGTAACAGCTAGTATATGTTTCATATTATGGGACAACTGTTCGGGTGCTTTATATTATGTAAAATAGGCCATCTAAAATTTGGAGGAAAAGGGAAGGTCAGGAACACTGAAGATCAGGAGGAGGGATGATACTGGATAAAGAAGGCAGATTGGAAGTGTGGAGAGTCCAAAGGGGAGCACATGGTTTGCTGTTGTTCCCCCATCTCCACATGTAGTCTATATTAGTTTCACCGACCTGGTGATGCATGGATATAAAATCTGCATTGTTTCTACCAGAAGAACACTTTTTTTTTTTTTTTTTTTTTTTTTTTTTTTTTGAGAAGGCACCTCGGTCTGTTGCCCAGGCTAGACTACAGTGGTCCAGTCTCAGCTCACTGCATCCTCTGCCTTCTGGGTTCAAGTGATTCTCCTGCCTCAGCCTTCTGAGTAGCTGGGATTACAGGAGCCTGCCACCATGCCCAGCTAATTTTTCTATTTTTAGTAGAGCCGGGGTTTCACCCTGTTGGCCAGGCTGGTCTCGAACTCCTGATCTCAAGTGATTTGCCCGCCTAAGCCTCCCAAAGTATTGGAATTACAGGCGTGAGACGCCACTCCTGGCCAGTATTATATTCTTTTTAGAGGAGGCTACTGTGTAATTTGTCTTTATCATCATGGATGTTCTCAGTATTCCTAGTATACTAACCAGAATTGACCCTCATGTATATGGCAGCATCACAGAGGTTTTAGAGCTGGAAGAGATGTGGCAATCTCACTCAACTCTTGGCTAGCAAGGGCTGTTGGTCACCGGACTAGCCTAATGGTAGGAGGTAGAAGATAGAAGGAAAGTAACTGAATTCAGTAACTGAATTCAGAAACTATTTAATAAGGTGTTGCTGAAGCTAGTTAAACCCTCTACTTGTCTTTAAATCCTCTACCTGTCTTTGGGCTAATTTACATGTTTGTCATCCCCTTACGTGGATATTTATAGCTATCCCCAGGAACGTTGTTTATACTGAGAATATATAGCGATGAGGATTTTTCTTTTTCCCAGGTATTCCTGATTGTCATCAAGCTTATAACAGATGAACCACTAAAATAATAGTACCATTTGACAGTAGTATTCTTGTACTTTATGCTATTGAAATGAAAAAATATTAATATTAAGTAACTTGACAGTCTAAGAATGTTCTAAATGAATGCCACCTCTAAGAAATACGGTGGTAATGGTTTCCTTGTAAACTAATTCACACCTATAAAATTAAATCGTGATGGTTGTATTACAATATCATAATCAATGTGTTAAAGGCAAAGCTATTGACCGCTTAGAGGTGGTATTCATTCAAAAACATTCTTAGACTGTCAGATTGCTTGATTTAGTGTACAGGATTTTCTTTTTCTTTTTTTTTTTTTTTTTTTTTGAGACGGAGTTTCACTCTTTGCCCAGGCTGGAGTGCAGTGGTGCAATCTCTGTGCACCATGACCTCTACCTCCCGGGTTCAAGCAATTCTCCTGACTCAGCTTCCCGAGTAGCTGGGATTATAGGCATGCACCACCACGCCTGCCTAATTTAGTATTTTTAGTAGAGATGGGGTTTCTCCTTGTTGGTCAGGCTGGTCTCAAACTCCCGACCTCAGGTGATCCACCCACCTCAGCCTCCCAAAGTGCTGGAATTAACAGGTGTGAGCCACTGCCTGGCCAGTGGACAGTAATTAAAAACATTATCTTGGTGACAAGAAAACCAGCTCTAAATCTTGGTTCTCTTACAGTGCCATGGTAGGAATACCTTGAGATTGAACCTCAAGCCCACAGAGATAAGATAGTCAGTGGAGGCCTTCAAATTCAGAAAGATTGATAATACCTTAACATGGTTCCTATTTCTCATTAATAAAATGGATTTGTGTTTTTTTAATTGAAGGTTTCTACGATAAAGACAGTTCAGGGTGGAGTTCTAGCAAAGATAAGGATGCATATAGCAGTTTTGGATCTCGCAGTGATTCAAGAGGGAAGTCTAGCTTCTTCAGTGATCGTGGAAGTGGATCAAGGGGAAGGTAAGTGATTTCTTCTCACCTTATAGGTGTGTAGAGTAACAGTTTAATAAGTTCTTATTCTGACCACCTATTTGGATGTGAGAGGCTTTTGCTACATTGAACCTGTTAAGTTGAATTAGATGAAAATTGGAATATGGTCATTGGCATAATGTGTAATCAATTTTTTTTTTTTTTATTTCTCGAGTTTTATATGTTCTACTTAGTACATCTAGTGAATGGCCTAATTTGGTTGGGATTTTTGTGGACTCTATAACAATTTTAAACACCTTGGATTTTTTTATTATGCAAGTATGGTGAACTGACCCCACGTGCCTAATAGCTGTGGTTAGTCCTGTGTCCTGATTTTTCGCAAACAGGCCTAAAATTCTAAAAACATCTTAGTTCAAGTAAGGATTATTTTCTACCTTTTATCCAAAATCTGTCACACAGGTGAATTGTCCTTTAGTATAACTAGGATGATTGATATTTGGTGTATTATTTTCTTTTCCCCACCACTAAATATATTTGAATGAGCACTTTAAATGAAGGTTGTGAGCTGTGTGCCCATTTCAGATAAAACCTTGATCCTTTTTTTTTTTTTTTTTAACCTGTGAAGTGAAGGAATTAACCCAAAAACGTCGTTGATTCTTAATTGTGGCATCTATGAGACCTTTTAGGCTATACAACTTTATAGAGATATAAAGGTTACTAATTTTAGAAATGATTTTAGAAATATCAGTAAATGGTATTGGTTAGAGACCCTTATTTGTCAAATAACTCAGAATTGGCTTGTTGACATCTTTGTAGTTAGCCATAACTTAAGTCTCCAGATACAGTTCTAGAGCAGGGGTAGAAATCTGATAATGGTTAAATGATGTGATTCTGATTATTCACTTGTGCTGTTCAGATTTGATGATCGTGGACGGAGTGATTATGATGGCATTGGCAGCCGTGGTGACAGAAGTGGCTTTGGCAAATTTGAACGTGGTGGAAACAGTCGCTGGTGTGACAAATCAGATGAAGATGATTGGTCAAAACCACTCCCACCAAGTGAACGCTTGGAACAGTAAGTTTTTGAAATGTATGTTACTTGTGATGAAGCTTTATTAGCTAGTATAACAAATGAATTTACCAATCTTTTGATTTGAGGGAACTCTTTTCTGGAGGCAACACTGGGATTAATTTTGAGAAATACGATGACATTCCAGTTGAGGCAACAGGCAACAACTGTCCTCCCCATATTGAAAGTGTAAGTATTTTTGCTTGACTTTTTAAGACACGGGGAGATGTAAATGTTTTCATGGTACATTAGAATGTGAGATGGGCTTCATAAAGTCATATGTAGACCAAAGGCTTCATAGGTTTGTGGAAAAGGAGTGAGTTCAGTGTCACCGTTAGAAATAATTTATTACCTGAAATAGAAAATGGGTCAAACACAGGAAGAACCCACAGTCTTCTCCAGTGTAAAGCCTGGGGATTCATTTTTCTCAAAGTATAATATGATAATTTTACTTAAAGCAACTATAAACTGAGTTACAAATTAGCTGTTAGTTGGTTATTTCTATTATCATAAAACAAAAAATGGCTCTAGATAGCATTTCTAACCCCATTGAATTTCTTAACAGTTCAGTGATGTTGAGATGGGAGAAATTATCATGGGAAACATTGAGCTTACTCGTTACACTCGCCCAACTCCAGTGCAAAAGCATGCTATTCCTATTATCAAAGAGAAAAGAGACTTGATGGCTTGTGCCCAAACAGGTAAGCTCAGCCGATAAGAGTAAACATTATCATATTTGTTCTATAAAGGACTAGATAATAAAATATTTTGGTTTTTATGGGCCATGTGGTTTTGTAACTGCTCAAGCACTGCTATTGGAGTGTGAAAGAAGCCATAGATGATACGTAAATTATTGGATATGGCTGTATTCCTTAAGAGCTTTATTTACAAAAATAGTCTGTTTGCTGACTTGTCTTATAGATGGACCAAAGAAGCCACTTTTTGGAAAACTTAATTTGAGCATAAACTAAAAGTCCTAATTACTAGTAATAAGGCAGTTAAACACTGTCATGGGCAGGGCACAGTGGCTTATGCTAGTAATCCCAGCACTTCGGAGGCTGAGGCTGGTGAATCACAAGGTCAGGAGTTCAACACCAGCTTGGCCAACATGGTGAAACCCTGTCTTTACTGAAAATACAAAAATTACGCGGGCATGATGGTGAGAGGCTGAGGCAGGAAAATTGTTTGAACCTGGGAGGTGGAGGTTGTAGTGAGCTAATAAGATCGCACCACCGCACTCCATCCAGTCTGGGCGATAGAGCAAGACTCCATCTCAAAAAAGGGCCAGGGGACACTCATCTACCAATGTCTGTTCAAAAGTAATGAGCAGGGTTTGTTTTGTTTGTTTTTGAACAGGGTCTGGAAAAACTGCAGCATTTCTCTTGCCCATCTTGAGTCAGATTTATTCAGATGGTCCAGGCGAGGCTTTGAGGGCCATGAAGGTAGACATTTCTTTATAAAATGGGAAATTATTGTAGAACTTCAGTCTAATGAAAAACAGTTTTCAAGTGTAATCTGTAAATTACAAAAGTATAGGTGGAGTTAACCTAAAAATTAACTCATTTCTTAGGAAAATGGAAGGTATGGGCGCCGCAAACAATACCCAATCTCCTTGGTATTAGCACCAACGAGAGAGTTGGCAGTACAGATCTACGAGGAAGCCAGAAAAGTAAGTATGAGTTTCAGTGGTTACTAGCTTTTTCATTGATTCTAATTAAATGTTTTATGATCATGTAAAAATGATAGTGTAAAAATTTTGACTTTGAAGTTCATAACATTTTTTTGCTTACAGTTTTCATACCGATCTAGAGTTCGTCCTTGCGTGGTTTATGGTGGTGCTGATATTGGACAGCAGATTCGAGACTTGGAACGTGGATGCCACTTGTTAGTAGCCACTCCAGGACGTCTGGTGGATATGATGGAAAGAGGAAAGATTGGATTAGACTTTTGCAAGTATGTTTTTTGTTTGTTTCTTTGAGATGGTGGTGGGGTTTTTTTTGTTTTTTTTTTTTTTTTTTTTTTTTTTTGAGATGCCATTTCGCTGTTGTTGCCCAGGCAGGAGTGCAATAGTAATGATCTCCGCCCACTGCAAGCTCTGCCTCCCGGGTTCAAGCAGTTCTCCTGTCTCAGCCTCCCAGTAGCTGGGATTACAGGCATGTGCCACTGTGCCCAGCTAGTTCTTGTATTTTTAGTAGAGCCAAGATTTCTCCATGTTGGTCAGACTGGTCTCGAATTCCTGACCAATTGTAAGATTGAGAAGTGACATATTTCAGTCATGTAACTTCTACGAAAAGCTTGTTTGTTGTAATTTTAATGTTGAAAAATCAGTAACATCTTGGTGGAGGCTTAGAATGACCAGCTCATGGGACAGTCATATTTAGGAAGAGCTAATTTGGCTTTGTGATTTTGGATGACTTACGTAATGGCAAGAATCCTGTGCTGTGTCTTTAAAATTATGCAGTATGAGGAACCACCTTAATGAATATATAGTTGTAATAATTTTTACATTGGTAATTACAATTATACTAACAGCCATACCAAGACCATCTCTTGATTTCTCCTCAAATTCTAAACTAAGGCTTTTTTTTTTTCCCCCATGACACGATAGATACTTGGTGTTAGATGAAGCTGATCGGATGTTGGATATGGGGTTTGAGCCTCAGATACGTAGAATAGTTGAACAAGATACTATGCCTCCAAAGGGTGTCCGCCACACTATGATGTTTAGTGCTACTTTTCCTAAGGAAATACAGGTACTGTTTGATGTTGGAAATTTTATTTATTTAGAAATTTGTTTATCTCAGCAGCTAATGAAAAAAATTTTTTTTCTTCCAGATGCTGGCTCGTGATTTCTTAGATGAATATATCTTCTTGGCTGTAGGAAGAGTTGGCTCTACCTCTGAAAACATCACGCAGAAAGTAGTTTGGGTTGAAGAATCAGACAAAAGGTCATTTCTGCTTGACCTCCTAAATGCAACAGGTAAAAATTAACGAGTTTTTTATTTTTCTAGAGATGAGGGTTTTTCTGTGTTGCCCAGGCTGGGGCATAGGGGTTATTCACAGGCACAATCCCATTACTGATCAGCACAGGAATATTTGACCTGCTCTGTTTCTGACCTGGGCTAGTTCACCTCTCCTTAGGCCACCTGGTGCTTCCTTGCTCCCAGGAGGTTGACATGTTGATGCCAAACTTAGTGTGGACTCCTGATAGGCATAAGCCCTCCAGAGTGGCTGGGACTATTGGCACAAACTACTGTGCCCAGCTAAAATTATGAGTAATTTTAATTTCGCAATGCCTGTAGTCCCAGCTACTTGGCAGGCTGAGGCTGTAGTGTGTCATGTCACCTGTGACTAGCCAGTGCCCAGCCTGGGCAATAGAGCGAGAACCCCATCTCTTAAATATATTTGGATTACCTTCATTAGTTTTCCTTCTCGATTTAAAACATGCTGTTAAGAGCCTGTTTTTAAGAAGATACATGTTTGTATTTTAATTTACATTAAAATTGTGCATATTTTGTAAGTGCAAAGAGAACTAAGTCATATTGGTGATTAAAAACCTGTGATTTTTCAACTATAGGCAAGGATTCCCTGACCTTAGTGTTTGTGGAGACCAAAAAGGGTGCAGATTCTCTGGAGGATTTCTTATACCATGAAGGATATGCATGTACAAGTATCCATGGAGACCGCTCTCAGAGGGATAGGGAAGAGGCTCTTCACCAGTTCCGCTCAGGAAAAAGCCCAATTCTAGTGGCTACAGCAGTATGTATAAACATCTTTTATTCAAGTTGAGCATGTTCAAGTATTTGTTTTAAGTGGGCCATATCTAATAAAATTTATTTTCCAGGTAGCAGCAAGAGGACTGGACATTTCAAATGTGAAACATGTTATCAATTTTGACTTGCCAAGTGATATTGAAGAATATGTACATCGCATTGGTCGTACAGGACGTGTAGGAAACCTTGGTAAGTATTTGATTACTTGATGGTCATCGTTTTTCTTTGTGATGCATGCAGCAAAGAGGTGGTTACTAGGATCTAAAATATATTTTTAACAATGAACGTGACAGAAAGGTTAGGTTTTGCTCAAATCACTTGTTTAAATATTAGATTGTAATATTTAAAATGTTTCTACATGAGAAAAGAACAGTCGCAAGTTACTTTATGGAAGACCTTTGTTTATATGCTTTTTTGGGAACTCTTTCAGGCCTGGCAACCTCATTCTTTAACGAGAGGAATATAAACATTACTAAGGATTTGTTGGATCTTCTTGTGGAAGCTAAACAAGAAGTGCCATCTTGGTTAGAAAACATGGCTTATGAACACCACTACAAGGGTAGCAGTCGTGGACGTTCTAAGAGGTGAGGTATACAGATGGCATATAAAGAGGGGAATGGGTGTTCGCTTACAGTTCCTAGTGTTTCCTCTGCATGCATAACATCCAGGGTTAACTTTACAGTATTCAAAAAGCTTAATCATCTTAGGCTTCCTAGATTCTTCAGGTAAGGGGTTGTATCTGTTGGGGAAAATATGGCTGGATGGGAAATTGTTTGAATGGAAAAATTAGAAATTGGTCATTGGGAAGTATATAAGAGTTAGGTTACTTTAGTGGAATTTCATCTTCATGTGAACCAACACAATTTTTTTCCTATAGTAGCAGATTTAGCGGAGGGTTTGGTGCCAGAGACTACCGACAAAGTAGCGGTGCCAGCAGTTCCAGCTTCAGCAGCAGCCGTGCAAGCAGCAGCCGCAGTGGCGGAGGTGGCCACGGCAGCAGCAGAGGATTCGGTGGAGGTAGTGTTAATCTATACCTTCATAGTTTTGGGAAGGGCTTTTAGTCATCTTTTTCAAAGCCTAATTAAACCATTGGGGAAGTTCGGCACTATGGAAATTTGATGGCAAAGTACTTAAAGGGAAGGGTTGTATTTAATGATGGATAACTTCATTAATTTATCTCTTTTAAATCTCTCATTAGGTGGCTATGGAGGCTTCTACAACAGTGATGGATATGGAGGAAATTATAACTCCCAGGGGGTTGACTGGTGGGGTAACTGAGCCTGCTTTGCAGTAGGTCACCCTGCCAAACAAGCTAATATGGAAACCACATGTAACTTAGCCAGACTATACCTTGTGTAGCTTCAAGAACTCGCAGTACATTACCAGCTGTGATTCTCCACTGAAATTTTTTTTTTAAGGGAGCTCAAGGTCACAAGAAGAAATGAACAATCAGCAGCCCTGTTCAGAAGGTGGTTTGAAGACTTCATTGCTGTAGTTTGGATTAACTCCCCTCCCGCCTACCCCCATCCCAAACTGCATTTATAATTTTGTGACTGAGGATCATTTGTTTGTTAATGTACTGTGCCTTTAACTTTAGACAACTTTTTATTTTGATGTCCTGTTGGCTCAGTAATGCTCAAGATATCAATTGTTTTGACAAAATAAATTTACTGAACTTGGGCTAAAATCAAACCTTGGCACACAGGTGTGATACAACTTAACAGGAATCATCGATTCATCCATAAATATTATAAGGAAAAACTTATGCGGTAGCCTGCATTAGGGCTTTTTGATACTTGCAGATTGGGGGAAAACAAACAACAAACGTCTTGAAGCGTATTAATGGAATTAGTTTCTAATGTGGCAAACTGTATTAAGTTAAAGTTCTGATTTGCTCACTCTATCCTGGATAGGTATTTAGAACCTGATAGTCTTTAAACAAGCCATTCCAGTCATGATGAGGTGTGATGTATGAATACATGCATACATTCAAAGCACTGTTTTCAAAGTTAATGCAAGTAAATACAGCAATTCCTCTTTCAGCGTTTAGGCAGATCATTAATTAATGAGCTAGCCAAATGTGGGCATATTATTACAGGGAAAGTTTAAAGGTCTGATAACTTGAAATAGGTTTTTAGGAGAATTCATCTACTTAGACTTTTTAAATGCCTGCCATAAATGAAATTGAAATGGTAGAATGGCTGACCACAGCAATGACCAGCCCTCATTAGGGCCCTGGATGATTTTTGATCTTATAACGCATGCTAGTGTTGATGTTTTTTGGTCAAGAGGGTATGAACAGGAAGAATTAATGCAGCAGGCTTTATTTTAAATGCCGATTCACATTACTCTGTTCAAGCTGCGTTGAGATGTTAAACTGGCTTACTATAGACTTTGTAAAAATGGCTCCAGAAGAGTAAAACTGAAATCTGAGATCACACAGGTTGGAAATATGTACATAACTGCACAAGGTGTCGATTCTGCTCTACAGTGCAGTTTTAGTCAGTTTTAGTTGCATAGGTTTCCATTGTATTTATAGTCTGTTTATGCTAAATCTGGCCAAAGATGAGCATTGTCCACCACTAAAATGCCTCTGCCACTTTGAATTCTGTGCTAATTTTGTGGCCAGAATGCGGTGATCAAAACGCTCCATCTTTTTACAGTGGCATAGGAAGACGGCAAAAATTTCCTAAAGTGCAATAGATTTTCAAGTGTATTGTGCCTTGTTCTAAAACTTTTATTAAGTAGGTGCACTTGACAGTATTGAGGTCATTTGTTATGGTGCTATTTCAATTAGTCTAGGTTTAGGCCCTTGTACATTTTGCCCATAACTTTTTACAAAGTACTTCTTTTATTGCACATTCAGAGAATTTTATATATATGTCTTGTGTGCGTGTCCTTAAACTTCCAATCTTATTTTGTCTCTTGGAGATTGTTGAACGCAGCTTGTCTAGGAAGGGGATGGGACTAGATTCTAAAATTTATTTGGGACCATGGGAATGATAGTTGGGAAGAAAACTATTTGCACACGACAGATTTCTAGATACTTTTTGCTGCTAGTTTTATGTAATATTTATTGAACATTTTGACAAATATTTATTTTTGTAAGCCTAAAAGTGATTCTTTGAAAGTTTAAAGAAACTTGACCAAAAGACAGTACAAAAACACTGGCACTTGAATGTTGAATGTCACCGTATGCGTGAAATTATATATTTCGGGGTAGTGTGAGCTTTTAATGTTAAGTCATATTAAACTCTTAAGTCAAATTAAGCAGACCCGGCGTTGGCAGTGTAGCCATAACTTTCTGATGTTAGTAAAAACAAAATTGGCGACTTGAAATTAACTCATGCCAAGGTTTTGATACACTTGTCTTAAGATATTAATGAAACACTTCAAAACACTGATATGAAGTGTCCAGATTCTCAGATGTTTGTTGTGTGAATTTTGTTTAGTTGTGTGTTTTTTGTTTTTGTTTTTTTTTTTCAGTGAATGTCTGGCACATTGCAATCCTCAAACATGTGGTTATCTTTGTTGTATTGGCATAATCAGTGACTTGTACATTCAGCAATAGCGTTTGAGCAAGTTTTATCAGCAAGCAATATTTTCAGTTAATAAGGTTTCAAAACATGTAAGGATTTAAACTTGCTGAATGTGAAGATTGAAACAAGTCACTGTAGCTTTAGTAATTGCTTATTGTATTAGTTTAGATGCTAGCACTGCATGTGCTGTGCATACTCTGATTTTATTAAAATAAAAAGTTGAACTGCACAGTCTCCTTTGTTGTTGTTAATTGTGGTTTATTTTCAGAGGTGAAAATAAAGTTGTGCTCTTGCCTGAAAAATTGTAAAATGTTATTTTTTGGTTGTCCAGTGTTATTTTTTTGGGGGAAACAATGATATAAGTATTCGCAATGAAAGATGAAGATGGGCCGGGTGCGGTGGCTCACACCTGTAATCCTAGCACTTAGGGAGGCGGAGGTGGGTGGATCACCTGAGGTCAGGAGTTCAAGACAGCCTGGCCATCATGGTGAAACCCCATCTTTTAAAAAAAAAAAAAGTATGTTGGAAATAAAGTGAAACAGGATTTTTGTAATAGATGGAAATCTGAAAGGCTCTTATTTTGATATACAGCATGTATTAGAAATTGGCTTGTACTTTGAACAATTTGACATGGGTGAGTCTCTGTTCTTTGAAGTATCTGATGAAGAATGGTCAAACAGTGAAAGAATGAGCAGGATAAAAGTCAAGTGTTAGTACAAGTATGTACTTGGGGAAGGAATCAAGAATGTATTTGGGCCAGGTGTGATGATGGTGTGGCCCTGTAGTGCTAGCTTACTTTGAAACAAGGGCAGGAATTGCTTGAGGCCAGGAGTTCACGTCCAGCCAGGGCAACCGTACAGCAAGACCTTGCCCCTAAAAAAAGCTTGTAATAGATGTTTCCCGTACATCTAGCTGCCTACTGTACATGCTGCTGCAGTTGGCTACTACAACATGTGCATAGGTGTGTCGTTATGTTGAGCCATAAGAAATTACTGGTTTGGGGTAAAAATGGCCAAATACCAGCAGTTTGATATGGTTCAACCTAATGAATATGTGTATTCAGCTTTTGTTTCACTGTAAGTTGAAGGTTTGCAGTATGATTAATAGTTTTTTGCATGGTAAGGAAGCATGGTTGAACTCAGCCTAAGTATTTAGGACAGAATTTTGAAACCTGGCCATATGGATTTTGAAGATAGAGAAAACGATGGTACTTGAGTCTGTTTAGTCAAAATAAGCATGGAAAGGCTTGGAATTGCTAGATCGAATAATAGCCAAAAGTGACTGGTGGAGTGAAATTGGATGCTAAGTAGAGTTCAAGGTCCCCTTTTTGAACACGACAGTCTGCCCTGGCGGAACTGCAGAAATTTGAGATTATTTCTAGTCTAGCATGGTTAGGATTATGGTGACAAATTCATTTATGTTTACATACTACATTAATCCCTGGTTTAGTTTTAATTGCATTTAAATGGAATTGTCACTCTTGTGCTCTGTTAATGTGTTTCTTGGATTCTTAATTTCAACTCGGGATTTTTTTTTTTTTTTTTGAGACGGAGTTTTGCTCTTGTTACCCAGGCTGGAGTGCAATGGCGCGATCTCGGCTCACCGCAACCTCCACCTCCTGGTTTCAGGCAATTCTTCTGCCTCAGCCTCTTGAGTAGCTGGAATTACAGGCACGCGCCACCATGCCCAGCTAATTTTTTGTATTTTTAGTAGAGACGGGGTTTCATCGTGTTGACCAGGATGGTCTCGATCTCTTGACCTCGTGATCCACCCGCCTCGGCCTCCCAAAGTGCTGGGATTACAGGCTTGAGCCACCGCGCCCGGCTCAAATTATTTTTTATTGTTGTGAGGTGCAGAGTTACGAAACCTTGCATCTGGCTAAGGGCAGTTCTTTTTTCTTTTCTTTTCTTTTTTTTGAGACAAAGTCTCGTTCTGTTTCCCAGGCTGGAGTGTGGTGGCTCAATCTCGGCTCACTACAACCTCCGCCTCCTGGGTTCAGGCAATTCTCTTGCTCAGCCTCCCGAGTAGCTGGGATGACAGGTGTGTGCCACCACGCCCAGATAATTTTTGTATTTTTAGTAGAGACGGAGTTTCGCCATGTTGGCCAGGATGGTCTTGAACCCCTGACCTCAGGTGATCCATCCACCTTGGCCTCCCAAAGTGCTGGGATTACAAGTGTGAGCCACTGAGCCTGGCCTCAATTATTTTTATCTATATAGTAAGTCTTAACGTTGGGTAGAGTAATTCCTCCCACTTTGTTATAGTTTTGCCAAAGTGATTTAGCTCTTCTAGTTAATTCACCTTTCCACATACATTTTAGAATAAGCTTTTTTTCTATGTACAAAAAAATCTCTCTGGGATTTTGATGGTAATTCTGCTAAACCTATAGATCAGTGATCAGTTTTGAGGAGAATTGACGTTTACTATGTTGAGTCCAAAACTTTTTATTTTTTTTTTTTTTGAGACAGGGTCAGGTCTTGCTCTGTCACTGGGCTCAAGCAATCCTCTTGAATTCACCTCCTGAATAGCTGGGACTACAGGTACACACTACCACGCCTGGCTAATTTTTGTATTTTTATTTTTAGTAGAGACAAGGTCTCGCTGTGTTGCCCAGGCTGGTCTCCAACGCCTGAACTCAAGTGATTCTCCCACCTCAGCCTCCCAAAGTGCTGGATTACAGGCATGAGCCACTGCGTCCAGCCTAAACTTACTTTTATGTTGTGAACTTAGAATATCCAACCAACAGTAAAGATTGCCTAGTACTTCCTAACATGGAATTCTCCTATTTGTTCATCCTAGGATCATGCTCCTCTGTGGAGCAGGTGCCTCCAGGAAATACCATATTTTGTGAAGAAAGTACATATAGAAATATTCAGGAATCCAGTGTGTAGTCACGGCAGCCTTAGATATTTGAGACCAACCAACCCTCCTGCTGGAGACAACCATAACTCATGCAGGCATGAGTCTGTAAGCATTCTTAGTCTGTAAGAAGGTTTCCTATCTGGGACAGAGATAGATGCTTTCTAATAGTCAAGTAAGTTAATAACTGCCTGGGCAGAAAATGCAGTATTCAGCTAATTCCAAACTTGGAAGGAATTTGCTACCTTTAAGTTTCATCTTCTTAAACTCATCATTTTGAGAGTACTTTGGAGTTACTTGAGTATTAATTCTCAGCATGCATTCAACCTAATTACCTTAATGTCCCAAGATTTTAATAACACAATTTTTCCATGTCAATTTTCATCAGGGAGACTTGTCCTTGAATGCTGCTGCTGTGACTTCCTGTAGAAGGTCTTTAATTGGAACACACCTGGGCAGAGCCTTCCCTTTCACATGGAGCACAGAAGCAGCTGCCATGCTCAATTTGCTGTCCTCTATTGCACGGGGATTTTTTTTTTTTTTTAGGAGTTTAGGAGTGGAGGTTTAATAGTAAGAAAAGAAAGAGGAAAACAACTCTTTCTCTAGTGGAAGAGAGGGAACTTCTGAGAGGAAAAGACTTTGTTTTTTGAGATTGGGTTTTGCTCTTGTTGCCCAGGCTGGAGTATAATGGTGCCATCTTGGCTCACTGCAACCTCCACCTCCCGGGTCCAGGCAATTCTGCCTCAGCCTCCTGAGTAGCTGGGATTACAGGCGCCCACCACCACGCCTGGCTAATTTTTGTATTTTTAGCAGAGACAAGAGTTCACCACGTTGGTCAGGCTGGTCTCAAACTCCTGACCTCATGATCTGCCCGCCTCGGCCTCCCAAAGTGCTGGGATTACAGGTGTGAGCCACCGCGCCCGGCCTGTACAGGGATTTTGAAGAAATCAACAGTGTTAGCAGAACCCATGGGTATCAGTGTCACAAGTATGCTTTGCATCTAAGAAACATGTTTTCTTAGAAGCAACACTGGGGAAACTATGTGATTTCACTCTTACCCACCCACAGGAATGAAGTATTACTGCATTTATGAGCATTACCCATGGTGGATCTTCGTTTATTTATTTTCTGTTTCCACCTTTTCATTTTCTTGCATGTACACCTGAAAGTTGCCTTCAGGCCAGGTGGCTCACGCCTACAATCCCAGAGCTTTGGGAGGTGGGCAGATCACCTGAGGTCAGGAGCTTGAGACAGCCTGGTCAACATGGTAGAAACCTCTACTAAAAATACAAAAATTAGCCTGGCATGGTGGTACGCACCTGTAATTCCAGTTAGTAGGGAGACAGAGGTTGCAGTGAGCCAAGATGGTGCCACTGCACTCCAGCCTGGGCCACAGATTAAGACTCCGTCTCAAAAAAAAAAAAAGTTGCCTCCAAATTCTTGAGTGAGATAAGGTATAAGAATATAAAATGGGCTGGGCACAGTGGCTCACGCCTATAATCCCAGCACTTTGGGAGGCCGAGGAGGGTGGATCACGAGGTCAAGAGATCGAGACCATCCTGGTCAACATGGTCAAACCCCGTCTCTACTAAAATACAAAAATTAGCTGGGCATGGTGGCGTACGCCTATAGTCCCAGCTACTCAGGAGGCTGAGGCAGGAGAATTGCTTGAACCCAGGAGGCGGAGGTTGTGGTGAGCCAAGATCGCACCATTGCAGTCCAGCCTGGGTAACAAGAGCGAAACTCCATCTCAAAAAAAAAAAAAAATATATATATATATATATAAAATGAAACTTTAAAGCTATTTTTAAAAAATGGGCTGGAAGGTGGCTCAGCTCCTGGGGAGGCTGAGGTGGGAGAATTGCTTGAACCTGGGAGGTGGAGGTTGCAGTGAGCTGAGATTGAGCCGTTGCACTCTAGCCTGGGCAACAGAGCAAGACTCCATCTCAAAAAAAAAAAAAAAAAGAAAGAAAGAAAAGAAAAAGTATACGGTTTTGGTTTTTTACCAAACAAGAAGGGATATTTTGAGACAGGAGACTTTAGATTTAACAGTGATAATAAAAAGAAAATGGGAGGAAGCTGTCTTACGTGAAGTTTGGCAGCAGAGTTACCCAGGTCATCCTATTAATATCCTGCTTAGGAAAAGTTGGGACACAACTCTTAGGTTTTATCTAATTCTACAAGGAGGTAGGGTTTTATCTCCCTGAATTGTTTTAGAAACCATTGTTTTATCTTCCTTGCAGAAGCTCATCACAACTGGATGGTTCCTCTGACTGTATTCTCTACTAAGGTAGATAAAATCACTAATAGTGTCAATAGAGTGGGCACAGCTATAGACTTACTATGTTTTAATGATTAAGCAGTCAAAGG